TAATCAAGGGCAAACCAAATATGCATTCATAATTGTCTTTATACACACTTCTTACTCGCCAACTTCGTTCTTTTCTTTCTTAACTTTTATCTTGTGACTTCCTTAACGTCGGTACATCCTTAGAATTCCACTCTAAGTTTTGCTTCTAAAATTTTATCAAGTCTATATCTTTATCTGTTTATTCTTGTAAATTAGCAGTCGCAAAGAAGCTAGTACATCTTATAGCATCTTTTGTTTCCATATGCTTGTATTATTTAGATTGGTTTACTTCGCCTAATATGCCCTCTTATGTCGTCTTCTCTTAGTTACTCATACTTTTAACCTAATAATTCTTGCATTAAACCTAATTTTACTTCTTTGTTTATTCAGCTCCAGAATAGCTCGGAAATTACTAGTCATACAGGCCTAAACCATGGGCGACAGACCTCCAGCCTTCAGAACGTTGTGGATAGACCCAAAGTAGGTACCATTATACGGGGCCCTAGCCACGAAACACTAATAACTGATGGCTCAGACTCTGTATTTGAGACGGCAGACTCACGAGTTGTACGCAGCCGTCAAGGGTCGCCGATGCACACTTTAACTTCGCCCGTTCCCTCCGCCGATTCCCAGGCTTCTTGTCTATACGAACGTGACTCGGGTGGCAGCCCCGTGTCAGGAAGGCTGTCACGGCCCGGCTTGGGGGCTGGGAAGCTGCTGCGCCAACGCTTGGATTCTGGAGATACGGGTTCGATGCTCAGTGTTAGCCAGGTATTCTATAGTTATAGTTATAGATTCTATCTGGTAGTATTTAGCTAAAAACATGGATAAGTAAACAAATATTATGATTCCTTGTGTAAATGAAATCGCCATTAGATTAATATACAAATTTACGGGTATTTTTATCGAAACGCCTTTTGCAGTTTTGCTCTCTATTTAAAAAATTGCGTTAATAAAAACATTTTTCACTATTTAATTTTTGAAATCAGATATCAAAATGGGTATAACTTGGTTGTCTTTTTAAATAGATACATTATCATTATACCTAAGTTTTTTCAACGTTCTCCATTCTACGATCCTTAGGTAATCTGTGATCTTATTTCCTTTTGTTATCAGTTTTATTATTATGACCTATATTTTAATACTAAGTGTAGTGATTCTACATCTTATTTTGTGGGTTTTCTTGTGTTATTTAGGGTTTCTACTATAAAAGCATGTTTAATTTCCATGCCCATAATGCTTATGCTAAGCATTTGTCCTTTTTTTTCTAAGTAGCCGAAGGATTGCAGCTTTATATTAACTAAACTCTGAGCCAAGTTTGTATTCACTTTTATATGTACAGCGCGTTTTCCGTTATGCGTTCGGCATAACAATCCCTTCCTTAAATCCTCGTCTTCAATTATTTCTTTATACCCTGGTATTTACTAGTAGGCTCATCCCTTTCTCATATCAAGCGTTTTGTTAATGTTTCTTTAACTATACCAACTCATCTTACTTTCGAATTCCATATTTATTCATCTTTAATCTATCAACATGACAACTAGACTTGGAGGACGAGCTCCAGAACATTTGACAATACTGTGGTGAGCGAATTAAAGACCACGCTTAAGTCAATTGAACCTCGACCTGATTCTTGCCAAGTGGTGGCCAGTAACCGTTTCTTGGCTATTGGGCAAAAAACTGGTCATATCACTCCCTTGCAAGACAAAACTCCCTCCACAGTTAATGGTACATCCGACAGCCAATCAGATGCTCAAATCAGCCTTATTCGGAAGCCTGCCGAATCTACTTCACATTGCGTCATCTCAACTAGCCCAGATTCTGTCTATACCTTGGACTCTGAAGTCTCGTTTGTTTCTCCCAAAACTTCTGTTGTGTCTCATGCTGGTGATGCTCTTTCGGAGGCTTCCATTATCTCTAAGCCCAGATCTGTATCAAGTTTAGTCGATGTTCCTCTGGCGTCTTCGGTCTCTCCTCTGGATGAATCTGCTACCATTTTACCTTCCTCATCTCGGTTGCCTTGTTTTCAACCCCTCACTAGTATTGCTCCTCAAAAAAGCCCTCATAACAAGGCCCATAGCATTAACAATGAAGATATTGGTGATAAACAAAACATATGCGCAAAATCGGTTGACGCTCAGTTCGACCCTCTTGACGATCATCCGGCCTCGGCTGATTCGCTTTTTTCTCTCAACTCAACCTTTGAAACTCAATCTGCGAATCTTTCTGGCATACATCCTGGGGATCTTGGCAAATCTCGCCTGGGTGTCAGGCCAAAGCAATCACAACTATCTCAGAGCCTGGGCTCCCTTCGTCGTGTTTTAGTCACGGGGACCAGGCGTCCACAAATGGGCCAACAGGAATCGGTAATCGTATATTTGCTTCCATCAAGCCTATGGGGCTGCGTCAGAGGACGGAAGTTTTTGCCTTCCTAATGTTGAACTTTTCGTCATTTTTTTCGGTGTCCTTTTTTACCCGCAGTTTTCATTGTCATTTTAAATTTATTTTATCCTTTTGGTCATGAAAATATGAAGTTTATCGAGCTTTGTTACATTGAACCTTTATTTAAAAGATTCTGCGAATGGGAGTGCTTATTACCTCCGGCTTTGTTGTAATATTGTCATCTTTCATACTAGATGAGCATCTCTAATTGAGGTTCATTATAACTTAATTTGATAGCATTTGTGTCTGAGAGCTGGCTGATTGCAGTATTCACATATTGTTCTTTTAACTATGCTCCAGGTGCTTTTTTTATACTGCTAGAGAATTGAATTATTTTAAACCTATTATTTTCTCTTAGGCTCAGCTTTTTTATTTATCATTTACCAAACTATTGCCTATTCGTATTTTTCTAGATAAGCCGGGGCGGCTCGAGCATGAGTATCTACAGCGAAACACAGGAGAGCTATAATTGTGGCATCGTGATCACTGGAGATATATGTTTTGTGCCTACTTACGATCTTAAAATGGGTTGTCTTCGGGTGTTCGTGAAGCAGGCACGCAACATTGCAGTAGCCGACATAAAACGCGGGACTTCAGATCCGTAAGTAGAGTAATAGTCCTATCAATACAATTTATAAATATAAACATATTTTAGTTTCACTTTATTTCGGCATCCAAAAATTAGTAAATGGTCAATTATATGCGTCTCCATATTTCATGACTTTTGAGTTCGTAATCACTTGCAAGAATGAGTCTCTTAAATTATCTCACTAAGATTTAAGACTCCATTTTGTATGACAGTATTCTTCCCATGGTATTATCTATTTTGGCTTATGAGAAATTATGATTAGGTTAGTTATTCTAAGGTATGAAGACCAAGATGGTGTGGCCTTTTGTGTGTTCGCAGTCTCCTTTCGTTGTATAGAAGTTATTTGACCTTGTTTTCGCAACTTTATCATATTGGTAGGAAGACTTTGATTAACGCAATGAGTCCATTGTATACATGATAATTTCCAAAGTCGGACCGTTTACGTATTACATTCCCAGACGTTTCGCTGGCATCGTCAGTGGGCATTGCCATTCTTACCACCACACTACAACTCGTCAAAGAGAAAAATGAAGCCGATCCTTTGACCAATTGTCAGCTAAACAATCGTGGTATCTCTCCTCCCCCCCTTAGATAACCACTCCTGTATCCTCGTATCATGCCTTCACTATCACAATTTTACATGCTTATTTAAGTGTGGTATGGTGTATCCTTTTGAGCGGCTGTCATGAGAACTCTCCACACTTGAGTTTAATCAAAGCAAGCAGTACCCCAACATTTGTGGGTTGGTACACCACAAACTAGGGTATAGGAAAGCATAAACTTGGTATTAGAGATAGAAACAGGACAGCACGGCAGAGACTAGAGG